CACACACTTTACACCACTCACCAGAGCGGAGTAGAATATAACGTTATAACAGCGTCAATCTTCCTCTGTTCTTATTAAATAAATAAATCATTTGCAAACTTTGGTACTGGAATGAAAACAAACTGGACCATACCTGCCATTTGTCCACCACACACCATAATTGAAAAGCTCTGCTAGAGAAATTTGTTTTCGTGCTGCCCAGCATAAATTCTGACTTTTGAATATGCCTAACAAATGATGAAACCACTGAAAATTTCATTATCGAATTGTAGGCTGTGAGGAGTGTAAGACAGAATCGAGTACTTCTAATCCATGTCATTATAGGTCTATAACTGTCTGTCTTAAGAACATGAAAGTACGACATCTGTGCCACCATGTAACGTTATTTGGGGAGAAAATGTAGAATGTGGGGCGTCCAGGCACAGGCCCTTTACTTTGAAAAGGGCACAGAAACATTTCTGAGACAGGCAGTGCATTCAAACAAAACCTACGTGAAAAATGGTCGTTCTAATAGAATAATAACTCTCTACTTCCAAATGTCTTTGTCTTAGTAGACTAAGGAAAAATAAACGTGTGTACCAGGAAGGAACCATCTAGAGAGATACTGGGGAAATGCAGGGGTGAGTTACACGGGACCTCCACGTTTGAGAGCAACCAGAGACTAGGAAGGTGTTCTAGTCTGCAGAGAAATCCCTTGTCCCAAATGCGTATGATTTATGTCCAACGCTATTACATATGGATCACAACTCATAATGTAGAACACAACTGCCTAATACACTGCCACACACACACACACAACCACACCCGAGCCCTGAGCCCGGGTCCTTAGGTTCCTGTTTCCTTTGGATAGACAGGTGTATATATAGACGCTGTATCGAGAAAACACTGGGCATAGGCCTTTGCCTATATATACATTCTCAAATGTTATTTTCTACCAAACTTGAGCTCTATCCCTATGAGGGGACATTGTATATACAGAGGGCATTCACACTTTTGTTGACTGTCCACTCTAAGGTACTTGGTCACTCGCCTCTGAATGAATTTTCAGAACTATTTTCATAGTGAATGAGTGTATGGGTCTTACAGAATACTTGCTGCAATGCGTCAAACAGGAGGCATCCTATTTTTAAAGGACAAGGAGGACTCGTGTATAAATACACACACCATTCTGTTTTATCTGCAATAAGAAATTAGACAACGGAATTAAGATTAAACACTTTAATCAACTATAATAAATCAAATATATTATATAAAAAAGTCTGATTCATGCATCAGATTACATAAATTATACAACTGTCACATTATGCAAGGCTTACATACTTTTGAGTTTGTATCGGTAAAAATGTATACAAGTTACTAAGAGCATTTTACTTAACAAGTGTAATACTCTTCAGTTATAAATAATGCTTGTGTCTTTCAAGTACCTGCTAAATATACACATTTCTAGATCTGCAGCATTCTTCTGTACCTCAAAATACAAACCATCTGGAAGCTTCAAAGATTTATAGGCCCAACGTATCATTTGTTACAGACTTCAATTCCATGGTAAGAGGGGATTTTTTTTGACATAGAAAAGAAATGAAATAAAATGCCAACTCGAGTTTAATGCTTGAAGAGCTTCTCCACTACTTATTAAATACCTCGCGAAAGCCTCCAGATGCAGATGAATTAGTTAAGGTGCCATCTACTGCATATTAAATACTTCCAATCGCTGCATCTGGATTAGGAGAGTTATAAATCTGTGAAAATGGGGGCTTTCGAATGTGCGCTGACAGACCCTTGCCTCTACCATCACGAACCAGCAGCACTGTGATCCTTTCCCTCTTACTTCAAAGGGATCAAGTGAACGAGCATGCTTCATACTTCACTTACACACGCACAATGACACCTAGCCTATCTACAAGACATATGAGCACACGGACATCAAAAAGTCCCAGCCTCACTTACAGACCCGAGGCCGGGAGCTTTGCCTGAAAAGCCGGAGGAAGAGAAAAGCTCCAGTGTAACAAGTACGAGATATATTAAAGCCAGTTCTTTTGTGTTTTTTTAGATTCTCCTTGCTAAAGAGCAAGCACCGTCACAGGGGTGGTGGGCGGGGGGAGAGAGGGAGGGCAGAGGAGTTGGTGAAGGCAGGAAAGCAAAGCTGTCACTAATGAGCTGGGTTTAACTAGGTTTCCAGTCCTGAAACCCTTTTCAATACAAGGCAACATTTTCACAGCTGGAAAATTACAACTAAAGCTTCATTTACTGCCAAAAGCAATAGATGTAGTTATGTATAATCTATGGATAGCACTACATTCACGGGAGAATGGCAAAACTAGGCTCAACGCAGAATAGAGCAGCCAAAAGCAATGCTTAAACGTCTCTCATGAATGGGTGACAAGTCACTTATATACAATTCTAAGACATGACCCTGCTATTCAATGAATGAAACTGAGGCATAAGTGGAAGGGCAGTATGTTCAGTATTTTCAGAACTGAATTTTAAAACTGGGAGGGAAACTGGTTATAAAACAAGGCTACTTTAAAAATAATAGAAATATTTTAATTACATAACAGAAGTATATTAACTTAAGATATTGAAATAAATATCAATTCTGTGGTTTTTTAAAAAAATCCTCTTATTGGTGGAAATATTTTTGATCATGCATGTTAAGCATAAATAAAATCCATTTATAAGTCTATAGTGCTGTGCTCTATTATTTAATGAGTACATATATTTTATTTCTATTTCGAAACTATTAACAAAATACACCATTAGAATACTACTGGTAAAGGTTACATTTTGGAAAAACAAACTAAGGTGACTTTTGGTCTTCCTTCTACAATGCTAGCAAATAAAACGAATCCACATGCACTTCTGCCCAAATGCAGGAAACACTGATATGTTTACTGGGGAACTCATTTTCACTTTTTGTTTGTAGTTTATTATATTGACAGATTATGAAAACAACTTGTACTCTGGGTCATGAGGAAAACAGATTTAAAGATAAAAATATTGAGTCAGTTATAACCAAATCTCTCACGTGTGGATAAATCTAATTCTTAACAGTTTTTATACAAGCAAAGAATGTCTCCTTAGAAATCAATCTCCTCATAAAAAGAATAGCAGTTACTTGAATGATACTTTTTACTGATCTCTATTCGCATAAAACATATCCCCAATATAAAACTAATATCTTGGTTCATTCTATAAGGAGTAAATTTGGCCAAAGCATATTAAAATATCTGTAACTAATCTGTCATAATACTAAAATCACATGAATTTTGATATTTTTAAAAAGTGTAAAAAGAGCTACAATTATACTAACAACACAAAATCAAGTGCTAAGAATTTTGTAAATATTTAATAAATGTTAATTAAAATGGCACCATGTTAAAAATAATTAAGATTTCAAATGGAAAAATAAAATTCTACACCAGATTTGGAGGTTTAGGAAAGATTATATATGAATGAAAGAAAAAGTTGGTAGAGCTATTTTCCCTCCTCCATTTCTTCATTTCAAAAATTACTGAATTTTTGTATTTGGGGAAAATTTTCACAATTTCAAAATGTATGCTCTCATAGGAAAACTAAAGAAACTAAGAAAATACAAATAACAGGGATTTTGGCTTATGAACTAAATATAAACTTGGCCAAGTATTATCTGATTCAGAATATTAAAATAAGCAAAATGATTATATCTGCTTTGTATTTAACTTTCAAGTAAGTCTTAGTACAGATGCATATTAAGACAAAAATGCACTTCATTAAAAGGCTGAGAAATATATGTCTCCATATACAGTGTGTTTTTTCATTTTAAATTCAGAAGAAACAGCGTTTCATAGTAAGTATTTTAGATTGTAAGGTAAAAAATAAGCTGTAATTAATATTTTTATAACCATTGCTTTTCACTTTACATTTCAGACTAATTTTGTACAACTACAGGAAGATGATTCATGGAAATATTCAACATTTTGGGGAAGCAGACATAAAAAAAAATGGACATATAATTTGGTGATAAATCAATTCTTAAAGGGTAGATGCAGATTAATGTGTAACGTCATGCTAATAAAGATCTGTTCTAAAAACTCACTCTTTAGTAACTGTTATTTTGGTTCAAGACCCAAATGCAACCATCTGTTCTATTATTTATGGAACTTGAAACCAAGCCTAATTCTCTATTCCGAGAATCTGCCCACTGTTTTGGGTTATCAGGCATCAGATGATCACTTACTTTTACCCTCCAAGTTATTTTCAGCTTTAATTCTTACTATTTTCTTTGCTAGTGTTTTATAGGCATTTAGAATGGCAAGAAAACAAATTACGTTAGCTTATCTCCCGCTTGTAGCTTAGACAAAACTCAAATGTTACGCTGAAAAGTGAATTCGAGAAATCCAGGCTGTTTGAAGTTAATGGACTTTCCTAAAACACGTCATTCTTCAGCAAGGCCTTTGGAGCATTACTTTTGGATAAAGAGCAAAAATCTGACGCTGGAGTAACATAGGAGCAGCTCATTTTGAAACCAAGGTTCAGACTCAAGAGTGACTTGAAGCAGCTCCCCTACACACACGTAACACTGCAGTAGCAATGATGCTTCGTTGAGCGCACAAACATTTTCCAATTAAGAAACTGGTATCATTTTAGAGGAAACCAACTGATTTCAAATGTCCTAAAAACACATGTATATGTGAGGTATATGCACGTATTTAATATGCAAAGATACATGAACTTATATTCACGTACACACGGATGTATATAAAATATGAACAGTTTGGGAAGTAGTGTGTATAATGAGCAG